ACTGATAAGTTTTGACCGAACTTGTTCGTGAATGTATTAGGTCATTACTCCTGAGAAATAGACCAATAGTCCAATAGTTAGGCATGGAGGTTTACCAGCGACCACAAAGCAGGAAAGGTCGGAAGTAATGGCGCAGATTAAGGAGAGAGAATGTCGGCAGGTTCATTAAACTAAATGAGACGGTTTCCTACTTTCCTGCAATCATGCTTTAGCCTTTACCATAATTTGCCAGAATTGTGAAAGATTCAGCTTCAGTGTGAAATGTTTCTTACTCCATACTTTCTTTCCTTTTCAAACTCTTCCATGAGTTCCATCAAGTACACAACGTGTTAAGTTGATTTCTATGCATAAATATGATTATTATTTTTACATTTTAAATGTTGAAATTATTATAAAAAAATAAATAAAAATATTGTACATCGTATTTTAAACTATTCCATACTTTTTTTTTTTTTCCTTTGAACTAGTTTTATCGATCAACTTTCAAGAATAGTTTTGCCTCAAAAAAAAAAAAAAAAAGAGTTAAGTTATTGAAAATAAATTGGGCCTAAACAACGCATATCACGCTGTACACTAACGTGGACATAATTGTTACAAAGTTACAAGATAGCCCAGTTACAATAAAGCTATTAGTGTGGGCTTATCTAGCCATAGATATTGGGCCTTTTCGGGGTCCATTCATTTACACTTTGAAGTGTTTTTTCTGGTATTAAAACCAATCTTCCAAACTTCCCGAGTCCCAGCCCCGTTCCTGGAAATTTTTGGGCCCTAGGCATAATATAAGAAAAGGGACCCCTTAAATACGTAAACAAATTTTTTTATACGCAATAACTTTAAATAAAAGAATGACTTATATTATTTGAATAGTATGTCTCCATACACAAAACTAGAGTAATAATTTTGCATAATGTTTGGGTAATTGAATAAATATGAAATAGACAAACGGTGTAATTGAAAATTTTAATATTTTGGAGCAAATACTCATAGAATCCAGAAGATTAGAAGAAGAAGTGAAGAGGTTATATTGCATTGTCATCTCCACCTAATTGATATCTAAGTAATTTAATGTTAATTGCTAACTAAATGCAGTAATTATCCTTTTAAATAGTAGCTTTTTTCTAATGAGTTAAAACTACAGAGTAAAATTCTACAACTATACAATTTGATTTTTTTTTGGACCCCTTTCTGGCGTGGGCCCTAGGCGCTCGTACTCGAGGCCTACCCCCTCCGGACCGGCCCTACTGGCGAGTCCCATACCAAAGTTAGGTATGAATTCAATTGTTGGGATGGAATTATGTCTAATATACTTGGGAGTTGGGACTCCATCATACAGATTCATAATTACTCCAGTACCGGATTATAAGATTTAGATGTAAATACAATACCTGTTAAGGTCGTGCATGTTCTGTTCACCTAATTTTCACTTATTTCAAGTTGAAAAGGCTAAGTTAATAAAAAAAATGAGTTTTGATAAGAGATAATCAAGTTCAAATTACAACTAAAATAAGTTCAGGTAAGATAAGTTTAGGTAAGAGAAAAGCATGTGAATAGAAGTATCCCTAAAAGAAGACCATTGTTAATTTGTTATCATTAGGGATGTGGAATGGGTCATTGGGCATGAGGGTAGCATTGTAAGTTAAGAGATATCATGGGGCCATGAAGGCAACAACATAGTAGGGTTGCCCATGCGTAATACTAAATGAGTACCGTGAGGGGTCTAAACACAACGTTTTATTTTATTTTTTATTTTTTTAAAAAAATAGCAAAATAATACGAGTGTAGTGTTTAAATCATATGTCCATACTATATAAGGATTAATATAAAAATAACACAATGTTTTGCAAAACATTATATATTAGCAAAATAACATAAGGTTCAATCCAAAATAACACAATGTTATTATTTAAGCAAACTAAAATGACATAGAGCTTAATTATATAAAAATATAACACAATTTTTAAGTAGAATGGAAATTAAGTTAAACACAAGGTGATTCAAAATAACAAAGGTTTAATATTAATAAAATAAGGTAGAATATTTGTATTAAAATAATCAAAATATATTAGCAACAAACAACATCTAAAATTTGAAAATTGACAAGTTTTATGTAAAATAAATAAAATCGCATAAAGTTTAAGTTTAAAAAAAAATACAATAATAATGCAATATACTACCTCCGTTCCACTTTACTAGCAACTTTGATGATGATTGCGGAGGCCGAGGCAAAACTTTTAAGGGGTGAATTAGAAAAAGTAAGAGTATATAATTAGGAGAGTAAAATTGGAGGGAATTGTTGTGGTCCTTTTTTTGACTTTAGGAACCTAGTGTACTTTTGTGAATTTAGTGGGAAATTTCCACCCTTATTTCCTACCAGTGTAAGAAAGTAGTGGGAAAATTTTGTTCCCACTTTGTATCCCTCCCAAAATTTCCCTAAATTTCAAACTTTTTACCAAATTCCCCCAAAATTCAAATTTAGCAATTCAATTCAAACAAAATGCCCTATATAAAAGCTGGGCATCTCTTCCAGTTCCCCATTTTCAAAAGATCAGTTTCAAGGGAATTGGGGAGGGGGAAGGGGGAGGATAAATTCAAGTACGATACACGAGAAATTAGTTTAGTAAATCCAAAACACAGGCAGCCCTAGCAAATTACAACCATCTAAATCTAGATTAGTTAAATCCTAATTCCTAAAGTTGTGTTAGTAGATGCAGCTTCATTAATTACTGGAATAGGCTCTGTTGAAGACCTTCCAAAAACCACCAGCCGCCACTTCATCACCAAAAAACAATCCTGAAAAATAAAAAAGGGAAGGGACTCATGGAAGAGTTCATAGATGAACTAATGGACGAGTTTATTCAACAGCAGCAGCTCATGGAAGATGAATTAAATGAAGAACAATTCATCCATGAAGAGTATCAATGGTCGTCAGATTCAGATCAGGAACAAGACCAACAAAATGAAGATGATGATGCAGATGGATATGATGCAGATGATGATGCAAACCAAGAATTGCAACAGAACTATGTCAGAGCAAGCAGAGAGATGACAGTAGAACATAAAAGAGCAATTGTTGATGAGATTATGTTGCACATGGAGGGGGACTCACTACCAAGAGGCTTAGCCAATTTAGCAAGAAAACCTTAAGTGCACAAATCCACAACAACAAGGTGGTTTCAGGTAATAAAACACTCTCTAGCACAAGGTATTGTTGTTGATGTCAATACAAAAAAATTAGGCAGGACAGGACGCAAAGCAAAAGAATACACAGATGAGTTCATGACTTCAGTACCATTGTACAAAAGAACAACTGAAAAGGGATATGCTGCTGCACTTAAAATTCCCAAAACAGCATTGCATAGGCTTAGGCAGCAAGGCAGGCTCAGAACACACACAAGCACAAATCACCCAGCATTGACAGAGAAGCACAAAGTGTCAAGACTAAAATGGGTTTTAAGTCTGATTCACCCTATACCAGCTCTAGGGGACCCAACATTCACTGATTTGCAACAATGGATACATTTAGATGAGAAATGGTTCTACATTAATCCGGAAACAAGAACCTTTTACCTACTGACTACAGAAGAAGATCCATACAGGGCACAGCAATCAAGGAGGTTCAAGATCAAAGCAATGTTTATGGGAATGATAGGGAAGCCTCAATCACTTCCTCCCTCGTCATGCCTTCCGTCAAAAGATTAGATTTGATGCGTTTAGCGCCGGAGGAAGGCCCCTCTTCACGGTCGTGGGACTCTGGTGGCTTAACCACCTTAGAAACCTCCAAATCTACTGGGGTAGACTCCCCTGTAGCAGATCCGGTAGCAGACACCTCTACCTCAGTCACTGGAGAGCCAGAAACCCCAACAGCAACCACGAAACCCTCAGCCTTAGGAACCACCTCAGATGGTGGTTCATCACGGGCTGCAGCCTCAAAGACCACCACCTTCGGCGTCTCCTCCTCATCGCTGACATACTCAGCGAATTTTGCCCCCCCGGATCCGCTTCCTCGCAATCGCAGAAGCATGGCGACCAGGTTTCATGTTACCCGTTCCACGCTGGGGCTTGTAGGTGACGTACGCTCCCAGATCGGCTGCTAGAAGCACTAGATTCTAGGGTTTCATGGCAAGTTAGTTCTAGGTTTTTGTCGGTAGGAGAAGCCATTGAAGGATTTCACAAGTTGAAACAGAGAAAGGATGAAGAGAGGAACTCAGAAACAACAAACTAAAGAAGAGAGACAAAGAAAGAGGGAGGATGGTAATCTGCGAGTGAGGATTGGAGTGAGAAAATAAGAACTAGGGTTTGTGTGGGAGGGATTTATTCTGGAGAATTCTCCAATAAATGAACTCCACCCAATTCATCTGGTGAATTGAATGAGGAGCATTTAATTGAGGTAGTTAGGGAGTTGTTGAATTTGAAGGGTTGGGGTATAATTTTGGTGGGAATGATTTATTTAATTAATCAGTTTTGCTGTGTAATAAGATAAGGTTAGTAGTTTAATAAAGTTGAATTAAAAAAAAAGTAAGGGTGAAATGGTAAATTTGCCTTTAAAAATTTACTAAAAAGGGAAAGAAATGGGAAAGTTGTAAGTAATGTGGACCAGCCCAAAAAGAAAATAGTTACAAGTAAAATGGACCGGAGGTAGTATATTTTTCAAAAAAGATTAAAACAAAACGTGCTGATATCATCAATCCCTTAAAGTGTCCTACGTGTCAAGCTATCATTAAAATTTTTCCCTCCAAATTATTTATTTAAATTTTTTTTGCCCTTTCCTTTTACTTGTTAGATTTTAGGATTAAGTAGGTTTAAAACTAAGAATCACTAGTAGTAAAATACAAAAAGGCACCGAGCCATGGCCACCGATTTTTAAAAAACCGATGGGAAAAAAATGGGCGGGACTAGGCTTTTTATAATTGCCACCGGTTCAAACCGAACCGGTGGCATATGTTTTTAAGGCCACCTGTTCAAAACACGTGGCAATAATAAAAAACAAATTCGCCCCTCTATTTTCTTTCTCTTTCCGCGTTCTCAGCTCTTTCTCTTTCCTCTATCTCGCGTTCTCTCTTTCCTCTCTCCACCGTGCCGTCGTCCATTCCTCCCGCTTCCCTCTATTCATGTCCTAGCAACGGCGGCAGTGGCGCTAGGAGCTGATACAAACCCACCTCTCGTCGTTTCCCCCTCGCGAAATGATTTTCCCTGAAGGTTCGTGCGTTTTTCTTCTTTTCTCTGTAAATAATTTCATTATTTCGTGTTTTTTGAGTTTTCATTTTTGTCAAATTTACAATTTCATGTTTTCGAAAACCAAGGGTTTTATGGATTTCGATTTAATTCAATATTACTCCATAGAAATTGTTGAATTCCTTTCTCAATTACATGCAGCTTCGCAATTACTGAATTTTGACAACATTTCATTGTCAGATTTCTTAACACCATATAGATCTGTGTTTTTGTGCTTTTAAATTACTGATGTGCAGTGGAGCGAACCTGGGTACGGGATTTAACTCGGGTATTGAGGCCATGTGAAGGTTGGGTATGGTAATGAGTTTGATGACGATGAGGTAAAGGATGTTTCTTAATAATTTTTCTGCATTTTCGTGATAATCTGACCCTAATTACAGAAAAAATTGAACTTGATATGGGGCTTATCGATTTTGTCTTTGATCATGTATATTTATATAGGTTTGTTATCGTGAGATTTGATTTATATTTGTGATCAATGTTGAATTTTGGTTTGTCTATAAATCACTGAATTCTTAAGAAATAGATATGTAGGAACTCAATTTTGGTCGAACAATTTAAATTTGAAGTACTGTTTTTTGCTCGTGAGATCTGTCAATATTTTGTGTGTATAGTATTCGTTTGATTGTTATCTAATGGATTCATCCAAAACTCGAAATTATTAGGTGTTGAGCTTTTGTCTGACTCATACCCCTACAAGGAACTCTTCAATGGATGCCTTTGGGACGTAGATGGAAAGGTATGAATCTGTACAAATCTTTTCATTTCTTGCAAGTTTGTGAATTATGGTTTTCTGGGCTTGCAACTAATTGATGTGGTATTATGTGTTTATCTACTTGCAGTGGACTGTTAAAGGTGGTGTTGATGTCAACATTAGTGCCAACCCTTATGCTGAAAAATGGGTAAACGTCTCAAGGAATAAATAGTAATGTCTAAGGGGGTTGTATGAAGATATGTTGAATTCACTCAGATGTTACCAAGCTAAGGATTCTGTTCTGAATTTTAAATCTGCTGTTAATGTTCCTCTGTTGTCTCTGAATGAGGCTTTGTTTTGTTTGAAATCCTAAATCTGATGCAAGGTCTAAGGGGGTTGTTTTGTTTGAAATAATGATGATGATTTTGCTACTTGGATTTGAAAAAGATCTCGAAAAGATGCAATGTTTTATTGTTTTGGTTGTAATGATGATTTTGCAGCTCGAATTAGATAATATATCAATAGTTGTTGTCGTTAGCTACTTTTTTTCGGGAGCTATATATAGAGTGAGAGGGTGGGAGGTGGAGGTTTGGCTTCTACTTGAATTTTTTTCAAACTGATGAATATTGCACTTGTACATTAGCAGTATATGGAATGAAGTGCTCAAATGTGTTATGAGTCTCTTTCAACATTCTGTCAATTTGGGCCCTGTGATGTCTCTTGAATCTTTATTGCTCATAATGTGCAGTGGACATGTTTAGTTCTGCTTTGAAAAATTGAGTCTGCATGTCTAGCACCAGGTCTCCTTGTTTATTGGCTATTTAAAGATGTGTAGTGGCTGTCCCTTCCAGCCTTCCTGCTTTTTACATAAGAAATCATGAAATTTCTTTTGCCTTTTGTTTAGTTGTTTGTGCATGGATGGAGTTGCTAGTTACTTTCAATATCTAATCTCTTTGAAAGTGCACACCTGTCTTCTGCCCTTTTAATGCATAAATCCTAATGATCTGATGTACAGAATTTATCTTATGCATTATGCATATTTTATTTTTAATTATTTTACCCTCAGCTTGTAGATCCTAATGTTTTTAATTACTTTTACAAAATGCATATCCTTGACCTCTTTGAATTTTGATTAATAATTTACTTATCTTATGTTGAAGTTCCTGAGATTTGGTCACATTTCCTTTTCTTTGTATATATCTTAGACATGGCTAAATTAGACCTTTCTAGACTACCTTTGAGATGATTTCAATCATATTTTAGAACAAAGTTAATGATAGGTAAATTTAGAGAAGTTAAGTCCATTGAAATAGATTTTTAAAATCAAAAGTTAACATATATGTAGATGTATGCTTAGAGTATACAAATAGATCTTCCAGTTTCTTTTTTTTTTTTTTTTTTTTTTTTTTTGAATAATGATTTTCCAGTTTCTAATTTCATGTTTTTGATAATTTCTTAGGCTTTTTGTTTGTTGCTCTGATACTCCGTATCTTGCTTAGGGAAGTATCAATTATTGACAAGTATACTTTTCACACAGGTCAGAAAAAGACTTGGATTTTATGCTTGCTTCATTTAGCGATCACCAAATTTAATATCACTTCTGAAGGTACCTTAGTGGCTGTATATGTGTCATATTAGTGGTTTTGTATGGATTTATTTCGTGAAATTAATCAGTTTGAACCTTTATAATTATTGATTGTTGCCTCTTTGATTGTTTAAGTTGTTATTATTATGATATTTGGATGAAAAATCTCGATATTTGATGTTGTTTTGTCAATTTGTTGATATAATTTATGTGGGAAAATTTGTCCAGAGCTTATTATTAAATTTTGTATCTTTGATTGTTTTAGTTGCTATTAATTGATATTTAGATGAATTAGGAGTCGATTTTAGGAGACGATAAAGTTGGAGTGTTAGGTAATGAAATGCTTAATATGGAAAGTATTTTCTTGTTATTTTTCTCCATAATTCACGATTTGATGAATTCTCATTTATATTCTATGTTTTAGAAATATGGGATTCTAAAACTTTTTGTTTTGAGTTTGCAAGCATAGCTGCTGTTTGGGACTGAAATTATGCTGTTGATCGACTTGGTCCCCTGCAACCGACTTGAGTTCATTCGGGTTGTGGTGTTTTTTTGTGTGTTTGGTCTTGAGGATATAGATATTTTCTTCTCTTCCCATTCATGTACTCCTGCCATTCAGTGTGTCAGGTTTATAGTTCTGTATATTTAGGTGTTTGCGATTGCTTGTTTGATCAGTGGTTTTGGTGCGCGGTGCTTCATGATTGTAGCTTTTCAATCATTCTACAAAAAAGTAGATTTCATTAGCATGTGTCGTTGTAGCATGTTATTAAATTTGTATCTTTGATTGTTATAGTTGCTATTAAATTTGTATCTTTGATTTTTGTAGGTTCTATTAATTGAAATTTCACAATTAATCCTGCTTTTTTTTCGTATTCTATATCTTGATGCAAGTTTTTGGTGTTTTGATTATAAAATTTGTGGATGAAAGGATTTGGGTGTTACATATTCTGTCGAATTTAGCTGGTTTTGTTTTATTTTAGGCTTAAAGATTGTTGCTTTTTAATATGATCTGGATCATGTTTATTTTGCCTTACTTCGAGTATTTGATTGGTTATATATGGTTGAATTTGCTTTTTATTGGAAATATTCTGTGGTGCTAATTGTAAGGGGTCAAAATCAAATTAGTTTTCTGATAATTTTGACATTTGATGATGATATTTTTGTATTCTGCTGTTGTGATTGATTCTTTGTTATTATGCATTATTATTGATGCTGCTGCGATATGCCTATGTGGTGTGATTGTGAGATTTGATTATTTCTAAATACAATGCTGATGTGATGTGCCTATGTGGTGCCGATGTGTCTTATGTTTCTTAATTTTGAGTTTTGGTGAAAGAAGGGATCCTTAAGTATGATATGCATTTCTCTTGGTGCACTTGTGTTAATTGCTAATTTAAGCTACTTGCTTTTACTGCCCTTGCTGCCTGGTTTTGATATTATGATATATATATATATATATATACATTTAATTATGTGCTACAAATACTTGGCACTTTAAAAGAGATAAAGCACTCCCTCATGAGCATGTTTGAATTTGAGGTGCCAGCTTTTTATTCCCTTTCCTTTTTTTTTTTTGGTTTTTGTGTTGACTAGACAGTCATTTAAGTTCATAATAATGGAGTTTCCCAATCTAGGACAAGAAAAGGAGGGTGGGGTGAACCATATGAATGTAGAGAGTAAAATTTCAGTTTGTGTGTGTAAATTCTACTTAGCTGTGTTTATTGCAATATGCATGCATTCTGTATCATGCTACCTTTATTGTGAGTGTGGTGTAGTAAGGACTGTATACGAAGTATATATTAAGATCTGTTGCTTGAACAAGCTTGCAGGTCCACAAAGAGGGACAATTGCATTTATCGCTTGATTGGAGTGGTGGAGCATTCTAGATCAATGTCAGAGGAGGTGACAAAAGAGAAAATATACGAAGACTATTGGAAGATTTTATCTATACGCAAGGTTGCTGCTGCCTCGTAAGGCTGCTGCAGCTGCTGCCTCGCCAAGGCTGTTTCATTGGTGTGACTTTGCTTGTATTTAACAGTGACTAGTATTTTTTTTAAGTTTTTTGGACCAAAATTGTAATATTATAGCCTTTTTTAATGAAAATATGTAAGTATATATATATGTTAGTGTTTATATATCATTTTATGTGAAAAAAAAATAATTATTTTTTGGGCCATTTTTGCCACCGGTTTTGAACAGAACCGGTGCCAAAAATCCCTTTAAAAAAAGCGGGAATGGGTTTTTGCCACCGGTTAACTTGTGGCCATAATAAATATTACCACCGGTTAACCGGTGGCAATAATCATTTTTGCCACCGGTTTTGAACCGGTGGCCTTTCTTGGGGTTATTGCCACCCCCCAAATGACCACCGGTTCAGAACCGGTGGCTTAGGGGGGTTTTGAACCGGTGGCTAAGTGGTTTTTTTTCCTAGTGAATACGAAACTTGACTTTGGCATCAGTATTGTTGTATACTCATTACTATTTTTGAATCTTTTCAATGTACAACAATATTAGAGATTGATAGCTAATTATATACATTTTTTAAGCTTCCACTCTGAACATATAAGCTCAATGAAACCTTAAATATATTTTGTCTAACCATCATTTTAGAAAATTTTACATAACATTGTAGTAAATATTATTATAATGCAACAATAAATATAAACATTATAAAAAAAAAGGACTACGTACATGTTTATTTAATATTTATATACCAAATTTTAAAGCCAAGTTATTTTAAATTGATATCAATAACAAAATATATAAAAGAAATATAGAAAGATTACTTATCAACACTATACTAGTTATAAATAAAAGCACAATGTTTAGAAAAATAGCCTAATAATGGGTCATTTAGAGGTTCAAATGGACTCTGAATAGGCTCAAACTTAAGGGACCATTGTAGTTTGGGCTGAGAAACACGATGGTGATGTCGTATTTTCTAGAGTGAATTTTCTAGACGAGACGAAGACTCAAAAATTAAAATATGAGTTTGTATATTATAGTGTAGTGCCCTCCACAGAGTTTTAGAGTGCTTCGGAAGACACTAAAGTGTTCTTGTGTGAAATATTTTTAAATTAAGATGTTTAGAGGAATGATATTTATACTACATATATTATGATGAAACTGTGTAGAAACCTCCTTGTATAGATAACTTCTATAGAAGTAAGAATAATCTAAAAAAAAAAATTATGTGTAGAAGCCTCCATTAAAGAAATTAGGAGATGTTAGTTGTTTAGGGTAATTTTACCCCGCCACGTGGTCCAATCAGAGGACGACACGTGTCAGCCTCAAGATGGCCCAAGTGGACCAATCTCTGCTTGACACTTGTCGCTCTAGAAAATAAGGGAAAAAAGGGCGGCCTTCAGGCCCAAATCCCGAGAAGCCGCAAAGCGGCGCAGCCCACCATTGATTAGGGTACAGTGACCTAATCAGGGGCACAAATCCCAAAGACCCTATAAATAGGGAGATGACCCTCTTTTTGGGGACACGTTTTGATTATTTATTACACATTTACTCTTTGATAGAGACATCCTGAGCTTGGAATCTGAGTAGATCCCTACCTTAATTTCCGCACCTTTTTTTCTCCCTTCAAGTTCCTAACTTGTGCGTCGGAGGCGGAGCACCACCCATCTGGTGTCTCCGTTTGTTTTGCAGGTACAGCTCACCCCGAACCAGTCTTCGTGTTGTAACTCTCCCGAGGGACAAAAACACCCAAAACATTTGGCGTCCTCTGTGGGGAGAGTACCTCGAAGATGGTTCAAGAGTCTGTACCACCCCCTAACCGTCTGGGTGAAGACCCAGAAGTCTTGACAGACTATGAGGATGAAGATCCTCAGGTCGAAACCTTTACAGCTGAAGACGGCTCTCTCAGAATCAAGCGCATCCGGCCCAGAGAGACTCTGGAGCGGGGTGCCTCCCAGGCGGGTGCAAGTAGACCCCCTGGGCAGCCGGAAGGGGAAACCCAAACGACAGCTGGATCAACGCTTGTCACCCGGGACGAGCTCATGAGATTCATGACAAGTTTCAAGGGTGAAATTAAAGAACTGATCACCCAGAGCCGGGTTGGCCCAAGTAGAGGTCAGTCGGCCAAGAAGACTCCTCTGGAAAAGGGAAAGTCATTCAAGAATCGGCAGCCCACTCCTCATCCAAAGGAGAAGGCAGCCGGGACCACTGATTGGTCCAAAATTCTTCTCCACAAGGGGAATAACAATAACTCCCGCCGGACTCAACAGCCGATGAGAAGTAAAAAATCAACTCTTGATGCCCGGGAGATCATTAATCGGAAGAGAAACCAGTCGCTGTCTGAGTCGACTTCAAAGTCGAACTTTCCAGACAGCTTCAACAACACCTCTCCCGGGAATGCATCTTCCTTGCATGAGAGTCAGACAGGCGGTAATACCGTCCATTCTGGCCCTCACATGATTGGAGCTGTACCGTATGTGCCTACCCAGGCTTACGGACAGTATCCTCCTCACTTTATGCAGCTGGCTCTCTTTGGAGGTCAGGCGGCATGTCCAAATGTCCATCCATTGGGCTGGAAGCTTCGTCTGCTACGCCTGGGTGAACAACCTTCTGCGTTCACCCGGGAGATAACCGAGGCGGCTCAGCCGACCAAGGTTAAGAATGTGTTGGTTGGTACCTATGACGGTACCACCAATCCAGAAGACCACCTCATGGCTTACACCAACCTCATGTATCTGCAGGGGTTGGATGATGCCACTTGGTGTCGGTGCTTCCCGGCTACACTGAAGGGCATTGCCCAACAGTGGTTTGGCAACTTGCCGGCTCGGTCCATCGATAGTTTCAGGAAGCTCGCCTTCCTGTTTGCTTCCAACTTCTCAATGAACATCCCTGCTAAGAAAACAAGCCTTGATTTGAGCACTGTGAAGCAGGGAGAGAGAGAAGGGCTGCGCTCATATGTCAGGCGGTTCAATCTGATCAAAATTCAGATTCAAGGACTGTCTGACGAGGTAGCTTTTACAGACTTCTTCAAGGGTCTGAGAGACGGGTCGACCTTCAAGTTTGACCTAGTCAGAAAAGGAGCTTTCACCTTACAGGCGGCCCTGAGGGAGGCGAAAAGCTACATCCAGGCTACCGACCTCTGCTCGCCTGGTAGCCAGTCGGACTCTAAGAAGTCCGACAAACCGAAAGACAGCCAGTCTGCTCAACCGGCCAAAAATAAAGAAGAGAGCAAGAAAAGAAATCTGGGCGGTTAATGACTCTGACCAGCCGTCCCAGAAGAAAAAGAAAGAGTTTAAACCGTACGTCCCCAAGGATGAGTTTAACAAAGACTACAACTCCATCCTCATGGAGGTAAAGGACTGACTGTCCATTGAGAAGCCGAATCCTATGAAGAGTTCTGTCCAGTCACGGAACAAAAATAAATTATGTCAGTTCCCTGAGGAGGTCGGCCATGATACCAACGACTGCTTCAGTCTTCAACGGGCGTTGGACCGTCTAGCTGACAAAGGGCTGTTGAAGTCCTACATTTCTAAGTCCCCAGCCGGGGCAAAAAAGAAAAACAAGGGTCAGTCCTCCAAGACTACCCCCCAGCCTGCTACTAGCTCGGATACCGACAAGGAGCCGGTCTACACAATAGCATGCGGGTTTTCCTGCGGTGGCCCTACCATTCGGGGCACCAAGAGCCATCTTCGAAAGATGGACAAGGATGATGACGAGCAGGCGTTTGCAAGCACCTCCTTCCCAGACGTCTTGATTACTGAGAAGGATAGGGGCAGCGTCCGCCGTCCGCATGATGACCCGGTTGTCATTAAATGTAAGGTTGCCAACCAGCTGGTTGGAAGGATCCTTATTGACACCGGCAGCTCATTTGACATCATCAGCCTCCGGTGCCTGCAAAAGCTGAAATACAATGTCAGCAACATGCATCCGGTCACCCACCCCTTGGTTGGTTTTGGGGGTGGGATGGTCTACCCAGCTGGAAGAATTGACTTGCCCATCCGGCTGGGAGAGAAAGGCCAGGGACGACATATTGTCGTCAGATTCTTGGTCGTTGAGGAGTTGACTGCCTACAACATTATCCTTGGCCGGCCAACCCTCAACGTAGCCAAGGCAATAATCATCCCGTCTCTGATGCTCATCAAATATGAGAAGGATGACGGCTCTGTTGGTTCCTTGAATGGGGATCAGAAGACGGCCCGGGAGTGCTATCTCTCAGCCGTCAGGGGCACTGTGGCCCCAGGCGATCAGGAACCAATTGACCTTGACAATGTCAAGGATGCCGATCCAGCACTTGCCCCACCAGCAGCCGGAAAGAAAAGAAAGGCACCTCTGCTGGTGGAGGTGAAGAAGGAGAAAAAATAGCAATCACTGACCGGTGAACGGTCAGATGAGCTCCGTCCCCAACCGGCTAGTGAAAGCATTAATCTCGTTCTGGATGACAGCCGCCCGGAACGTACTGTAAAGGTTGGGACGGTCGCTCATGCTACTTTGGGTGCAGACTTGCACCTTCTGCTGAAGGAATTCAAAGACATTTTTGCCTTCGAAGTGGAAGAGATGCCGGGCGTCAGCTCGAATCTTGCCGTCCACAAGCTCGTCGTGGATCCTAAAAAGAAGCCCATCCGGCAAAAGAAAAGAAACCACGGTGAGGAAAAAAGTCAGGCGGCAGCTGCCGAAGTCAAAAAGCTGCTAGACGCCAGGTTCATCCGGCCTTGTAATTTTCCCGACTGGATGGCCAATGTGGTCCTTGTTAAGAAACCGAATGGGACCTGGCGCATGTGTGTTGATTACACAGACCTTAACAAGGCGTGTCCAAAGGACAGTTACCCGCTTCCAAAGATCGACAGTCTGGTCGATTCTACAGCCGATCACGCCTTGATGAGCTTCATGGATGCATACTCCGGCTTCCATCAGATACCCCTGTGGAAGAAAGATCAAGAGAAGACGGCCTTCGTCACTGATTAGGGGTTATTATGTTATACGGTGATGTCGTTTGGCTTGAAAAATGCGCCTGCCACTTTCCAACGGATGATTAATATGGTCTTCATTAATCAGATTGGGAGGAATGTGGAGGCGTGCATTGATGATATGATAGTCAAATCAAAGCTCTAGACGGATCACCTTGCTGATCTCCGAGAAACGTTCACCACCCTCAGGCGGCATA